AGAATGATAATAAAGGGAAATTATTCCTTTGCTGCACTCGGAATTGTGGATTTTGGGAGTGTGTTGTAAAAGAAGAATCAAACGGTCAACTTCACATATCTCAATACTCCATCGTCCCCCTTTATCGAATTCCTTTTCTTAACGGGAAAACCAACGAAATAAACATATTTTTTGTAGAAGTCATACATATGCTTTTCATCTTTAAATAGCATACCCACCTTAGGCGCATTTACACCATCTCTCCCCCATGTTTCACCTTCAACTACGTTCACAGACTCCGTAACATTCTCATTATCAGATTCCAACATTGCACGTCCTCCATACTTCATTTTACTGCGAAAATAAAAATGGCCATGCTCAATATACATATACCACAAAAATGGGATTTTGGTTGGTTTAATTTTGTTAATAGCACTCATCAATTCAATTGTATTACCTACCTATACGTATACCAATTAGATTCGTAGCCTAAGGTGCTGGAAAAGAAATATTCATAGCCGGAAAATTTAACATTACAAATATGGAGCCCTTTGTCAGCCTTAATTTTCATGAAAATTACGTCTTCCAGGCGCAATTAATTACACAATACTCAATACACTCGATGACAGTGATCATACCTTTTATGTAGTCGTCGGGTTCCTGGTCAGACTCCGCCAAAGCATGATTTTCTCTGTTTCCTAAAAGCCCCCAAAAATCGTTCTTCACAATTGTTCACACTCCTTCGAGCTGTGTAATGGAGCTGCAGAAACCCGCGACTGAAGTGTGGCTCACGTACATTTGCTGAAATTACCCTAGATGTTCGGAAAACTCGTCGGTCCGAAAGATTGTTGCAGACTAAACAACGCGGCACTGGTTTAACTGTGGTTTTCTTGATTGCAAATTTCAATTTGAGGCAAAATGATTTCTTCACCAACGAAAACGAGATCAGATTTGGAACAGGCTGATTTTTTCCAAGGATATGGAACATGGTGATTTTTTCCAAGGATTTCAAACACCTAAGCAGTTGACTGGACTTCAAATATGCTAGCCGGATGAACACTGCCAACAAACTGAGGGAAGCAAGAAAGCAGGCAACTGGACAGTTGAGGCTACCTGGGACGAAATGAAATGCCGCTTGACAATCAACCAAGCAGGCAGTTGGATCGTGAAGTGCCTGTAAGGATTTTTTTAATCAAACATGTGGGTTTATATGTGAAATATTGTGTATTAAATTAAAAGCTATCAATTTCAGTTAAGCCCATTTAAAGTGATCTAATAAGGTTTCGGTATTTTGGGTTTTGAAACATCTAATTAAAGTATGAGCTTATATGTGTAGAGA